CCCCCCCCCAGTTTTTGGTGGGGGAGAGGGAGTACAATGGGAAAACACCTAATATATACAGCTTTAAAAAGTTTTAAAATAATTACTTGCTCCCATATTTCAAGTGTTTTTACTAAATGCAGAGTATCACATTCACACATACCCTGTTCCTCAGCACCACTGCTAAAGACGGACAGCAATCTTTACAATCATCATAGGAAGCAGGGAGGTAGAGACAACTGGTAATTAAAACCCCTCACAGCTCAGGCACACTCTCCATTTCCTAATGGCCATTATTATCCAGTCTGTGCTGCTATAAGGGACCCACTGTAACCCTTCTGCATTCCCTGTCAAAAGAAACAGGCTTTTACTGGAGGTGAGTGGCCTGGTGGTACAGGAAAGCTGAACCTTAGCTCTAATAAAATGGGCTTCTCCTCCACTTACTGGCTTCAGTGTTCGAGGAGAGCGGGAACATGCCTACGTCAGAAAGCTTCATTTTTATGGCTTTTTTTTTTGGTCCCCCAGACAGTAGGGTCACTTTTGATAGAGGCAAAGGGGTCCTACTATTAGTGGAAAGGACACACTCCTTCAACACAAGTTTTCACTGGTAGGATGGTGCTGTTGGACATGCTTTTTCCTTCCATATATTATGCTAGGAAACCCATCATCAGGGCAGCTGATGCTGCAGTCAGAGCCCTCAAGGGCCTGTGATAGAACCTCATGGTTATCACAGGATCCTCAGTCTGAATCCAAGTCATGAGTGCTGTCATAGCCAAACTCCTTCTGCACATCCAAAGGGTATTTGCTCCACATCTGTGGTCTGCTATTGCCTCCTTCCTCTTCACTGAGGCTGTTGTATTCATCAGAGCCTAGAATGATAATAACAGACTTCAAATGCATGATTTTTTTAGGTGACTGTGACAGCTCTTTCCCTTCTCAAAAAGGTCTGTTTTTTTGTTCACCATTTAAAAACACTTGTTCAGTAGAGAATTTAGAACAATTTTAAAAGATCACATTCCTACCATATAAACCAAGTCTCTTAACACTGGAATATTTTGTCATTTCTCCCCTCAGTATAGGATTTTTTTTGGTTATAATAAGTTGTAGTCATACTGTAAATATAATGTGGAATACTGCCCCTTTTAACATATTATAGGCACTTTCCCAACAGAATACTCCATAGTTTAATTGTTCCTCCATTAACAGACACAAAGAAATTGTTTTTGTTGGCACTTAGAACCTCTCCAATACTTTCTCAGACTGAAGCAAGGAAAGGGACACTGAGCTAGATGTTTCACTTAACCTCAATCATTGAAGTTGGTGCAATAACCAGAAAATGAGACTCATTGAGGTGAAGTAACTTATGCAAAACCCACAGCTAGGCAATGACAGAACTAAGGATTTGAACCTGCACCTGACTGACATTATACCTCTAGTAACCCCTGGAAACACTGGTTTATGGGTCTCCTCTAGCTCCAACAGCTTGTGGTTGAGTTAATGGAGCTCAATGGCGGAGAAGCCAGTGAGGATGGACCTCTCAACTGCCCATGCCTGTTTTGGATCCCAGCAGTTGCCCCCCCCCCC